GTACTACACATACGTATATATTACTCTAGTGTGTTTTCATTCTTGTTCAAACTTTTGGGGTTCTATTTACAGCTAACAATGTCGCTACTAGTGCCCCATAATTAGTATTGTTTTTGAAAAGATTATTTTAAGGATAATTTAAAAATTAAGTCTTGAAATTGCATTTGTGTTTCATGAAGTAGTCAACAAAAATCTTTTACATATTAACCCAAAGTATGATGAACTTTAAATCTAAACACAAATGCCTACTGTGCGTGAAATGTTAGTCAATCAATTATTGGCGGTGTTAATACCATAACTCATGGAAACCCTCAGATTATCTTCAATTTGGTTTAACAGTATGTTTAACATACGGTCGGATGATTGTATCTGCAATGTATGCAATATGAAAATGGCGAAATTATTTCAGGAAAGCCACCATGTAAGAGACAAAAAATACAGACATCCGTCAGTAATGTGTAAACATCGGACAACATAACCTTGAAATACTTTACATGTCAAAGTTTTTGGAAGTTATGGAGGAACATATTATTGAGTCGCCAACTAATCCCACCAAAGTTTTTCTTTGCGAATCGCGTTGTAAACGATCGCGGGACACGACACATTTCTTGTCAATAACAGGTAGTATGCCACATTGGTCTGAGAAAATCGCCCGCCAACGCGATCTTCGTCAAATTCCCGACTTAGACGTTATACTAATTATTTGCTTGCAATCAAGAGGAAGAACATTTTTAATTATCAAAAGAAAGCAACATCTGTGAAACATGCAACAATACTCTATCAAAGCAAGCCAGAGACAATCTCTCAACAAGGAAGCAACCATTTAATTTCAAAGGGGGGTATGGTTTTCTTGTCTGAGCTCGAACATTTTTTTTCCGCCTCCATCAATCAAATAATTTTTTTTCGAAATTTAACACTATAAGGTATGGGGAAATCAGAGTTCATAATATTGTTTTGGTTATAAATCTTACCCCTCCCCCTTTTTCACCTTTTGAAGTTAAATGGTCGTTCCCTTATGTAAATAACCAGCCCAAAGACTTTCATTATCTTTTTTCTACATTCCAAGACGACCTTCGCACTGTTCCAACCAACCTTGAAAAAGTTGTCCTTACACATATTACCTCCATGTTATTGTCTCAAGTCTGATTATTTAAAGACAAATATTTCAGTCTCTGCACCCAACCCTTACAATCAACCAAGCCGTCGCTAACACGGTGCTTAAAAGAACAGCGGCTTGGATTAAAATTGTACTTGTAGACAGTCTTTGATAATCTGTTACAGTTTTATACAAGAGTAAGTCCTTTGTTGTTGATAATAAAAACGGAACTATTATCATGTTTTGGAAAATATCGACAATTTGCTTGATATTGACAAATCAAAAATTCAAGTCACATGGTAATTGTTGGGGATGCTAAAACCTTCGATATATTTTGTAAGTTTAAAAATGAATATACTGAAGACCTTGTTTGTGTGTTAACATTTCCGGTTGACTGGCATATTTTATAGAATGTACAGCCTGTTTTATTTAAAATTTATTTTGATCATGAAGCTGGTCTTAAAAAGATAACGAAAATTAAGCATATGTTCTTTTAACTGTTCTTGAACAGAACTCCAATCTAAAAAAAAAATAGTTCAGATGATCAAGTTCTTTGAACAAAGAGAGAGGGGAAACCAATGGCACTGCTATATCATCTCATCAATTATATCACAAAAAAATATAGCTTGTGTTAATAAATATATGAAGCAGAAGAAAAACAACTGTGCATCTGAATTACCATCAGTATTACAAATATATGAAGGATACATTAACATCCCTTCTGTTATGGATAAATTTGACAAATTCTATATGGGAAAAAAAAGACAGTTCCTATTGTGGGATAATTTTATTCATATAGATTATTTCTCATACATATCTTTATATATTGCTTTCTATAGTTCAAATTGGAATCTCAGATTAGCATCACTTTAAACCTCTCCCCTCTGTTCCCTGCCTTTGGTCGGCATATGTACTTCAGAATAATTCCAAGATATCTGACTGTCAGATGTATAGCAGAACTTCCACACAACATTTAAACGTGCTTTCAAAGTGAGGGCTTTTCCGTCAGCGTAACAGGTAGGGCATGTCAGTTGCTTGCACTAGACGAGGCTCATTAGTCTCTTATACACTGTGATGTTAAGGAATCTATTCGGGAACAATCTCCATAACTTCTTGATAAAACTACTGTCTATCATCATTTTCGACACTGCAAAAAAAAATCAAACAAGCGATTAAAGCGGGGGTTCCAACCTCATGTTCCCCATACAAACGGATCTGAACACAGGACTCTTCACCGGATATGCCACTGGATTTATACATCAGATGCATCACAAAATATATACATGTAATGATATATACTAGTATATGAAATAAAGAAAAATATAAAAAGAAAATGTTGAATTATCATTAATGTCTACGAAACCACAAGATCCTACCTAATTGACCATGTTTTCAAATCATATCAAATGTTTCCATTGGTCTTTACTTGTTGGGAAAATGTACTGAATTCATTGCTAAATTATCAATGTTCGGTTAATGCCTTTTCTTTAAAGCTGTCTGTTTAATTAATGAATTGAAAAAGAGGGGATGGATATACGTTTTTAACATTTGGCTATATTTTCAACATATCTAACAAATATGTGAGAAAAGTTAGGTTTAAAATACGAAATATCTCTCTTAGGGGACGACCATTTGATATTCTGGGGGGGGGGGCCAGGAGGATTTGTTTTGGATCGGTTATTTATTTTTGTAAACTAAGAGGACAGATTATCTATTTTCTGCACTATTGAAGCAAGATTTTTCATTTTCATTAAAGCAAGGGACTGATTATTTATTTTCACAACTATATTTATAATATTCGAAAACATACAATTTTTAAATTATTTGTTTATTATAAATAATTCATGTATAGTCAAGTCATTATGTACCATTTAATCAGAATTAATTATTATCCTCTGCAGAAATGAATCTTTTATATCCCCCAATGCATATACATGTATTGCATACATACACAGTATTAAAGTTTGGTTGAAACTAAGGCTCTTCTAAAAGTATTGGCAAACATGTTTCGCCGAGCGGAGCGAGGGAAAATTTTTTTTGAAGGGTTTTTGAACCGCTGAATGCCCAAGAAGCTATAGAACAAATGATGCAAAATCATGCCTTCTGGGTGTTCCCTAGACCCTTTCTTAAACTGAAAATGCAAGTTCTGTTTTAATAATTTTATGACAATATTTTGGTCTCAAAGCAAAATCACGTTATAGATTCAGTGTAAGACTTTTAAGTTTCTAGGAACAACATCAAAAGACAAATATGCATGATATTAAAAGCAAAAATGTAATTCACATAGTTAAGTCTGTGGCTGCTGTGTTTTTTTAAACTCATGATCAAGTTAATAATAAAATTACTAAATTACAAAATGAATGCAACACTAACAGAATACAGAAGGGCAATCAATGAACAAAAGACAAATAAATAAGAAACATTGATCCCGAAAAATCAGGGGCTACGTCTGAGGGAGAACAGAACTTGCTTCTTGCAAGGCACTCATGGTGAACACAATTTGATATGGAGACAAGCGTTTGGTTTTGAAATTTCCTACATGAGGCATTTGTCTCAATGTAGTTACGGTCCTGATTTAATAAAAGTGAGGTAAGTGTTCCTGAGACAATTAACCTCAAGTTAAATGAAACCAATTTTCTGACATTTCAAGTATATTTAAATAATATTTATACTTTTATTATTAAAAGATATGGGAAGTGTTTCCCGATTTTTTTTTTGGAAAAAAGATGAATTTATGAAGAATCTGGTGCCATCTCATACTTTCGATTAGACCTGCTGAGTTATTTATTTTCAATACATTGCAAGTCAGGTAATTTATTTTCAAACTACCACAGAACAAACCATTTATTTTTGTGATTATCAAGGCTGAGTTATTTATTTGCAAAATCCCTGGCCCCCCCCCCCCCCCCCCCCCCCCAGAATATCAAATGGTCGTCCCCTTAATCACATATCTAATGTTAGAGTGTTTTCCACACTTTTCTTTCATCATGCTTGAAGATATTGATTGATAATTGGTATATAGTTTTATCATGACAAGTTACAGATCAAGTTCAAATTTTTGTTTTGGTCTGATAATTTTGTGCAGAGTTATGGTCCTTGGACTTGAAAACATATAATCAGTTTTCCACTCTGTTTTTAGTCATGCTTGAAGATATAGACTTGATATTTTCTTTTTGTTTACACCATGACAAGTTATAGAACAAGTTAGCATTTTGTTCCAGTATAATGAATTTTTACCAGGTAGGGGACTATGTATTGCCATGCAATACTCTCAGAATGCTTGTTTTAATTTTGTTTCATTTATATGTTTAGTGTGACGTCCATTTTTGCTGAACTAGTACACATTTTTGTTTAGGGGCCAGCTGAAGCCTGCCTCCGGATACAGGATTTTCTCGCTGTGTTGTAGACCCATTGGTTGTCTTGGGCTGTTTTCTGCTCCTTGGTCGGGTTGTTGTCTCTTTGACACATTCCCCATTTCCATTCTCGATTTTTTATAACAGGAATGATGTATTGAAAGTCCTCTACGTAAAATCTTTCTATGCTTCCAATCTTAGGAAAAACATGACTTCCAAAGGTAATTTTTTCTTCTCATTGACCAATTCTCCAAAAGCTTTAGTTAATTCATTAAAACAACAAAGCTGTCTAAAGCTGAATTATAAAGAAGATATCTTCTGTGGAGTAATAAAGAGGTAAACCTGCAAGGTAAATGATCCATAAGCAGTATTTATGCTTTGGCAAATTTTCTAGATGTTTTAAAGTTTGTTATTTGAGCAAATATAAGGTAAAAATTGAAATAATTATTGTACAATGTAATTATACAACACATGGTATAAACTGTAGTTATTCAGTAAAATTAGATGTCAAACATATTGCACTAATTTCCCTGCTTTATTGTCTGTTTCAGATATATGTGGAATATGTTGTACGGAATCCAGTTTGTGACTTAGATAAACCAATAACAAGTGAACTGTTTCAAACAAAACTTGATGAATTTATAAGAGGACTACCATTTTTTCCAAGTAGAATAAACTAATTAACTTATTTACCCAATAGCTAATTGATTTTTGATGTGCAATAAATTTCAATATATAAATTGTCATATGTAATCTTGTGTTTATTTCTTTGATAAAATGGTGGTACAGGTTTGTGGAAAAAAGATTTTATGATAAAGCACAACAGTATCTAAAGGCTCAACAGACAATATTCTGTCTGCAATATCATTCTGTTAGCCAGACATTCATACCAATTAACAAGCAAGGGGCAGGTCATCAATTCATATATTAGTTAGAAATATTTTCATTTAGATTTCACAGGGAAGTAACTATTGATGACCAACTACTTTTGTAGGAGTTTGAAATGTCTTAAGGGCAGTAAATACAGTTACAGGGGAGGTAATTTTTAATGTAAAATGTTATTTTTCCCAACGTCAAAATGTGACATATTTGGAAAACTTGCATTAGCTTGAAATCAAGTACATGGACTCCTCTTTTTAAAAATGAAATTTGGCTTCATTATGTATTCTCTACGATTTTTTTTTTAAATTAGATAAATAAACAGCAAAAAAAAAATTTTATTACTAAAATTCATGAAAATTTAATAAAAATGAATTATTATCAAAGAATTGTTACACAAGTTGAGATCATACTTTGGTATAGAAATTATTATTCTTAATGATTTTACAAAAATCCGCTTGTGTTTATCTTTTGAAACAAAAAAGTAATGTCTGTCCAAGAAACAGAAATTTTGAGTAAATGTCTAAAATTTGTCCCAACTTATCTCTAGGTAAAAACTAGCTTGTATGCAAATATTTGTTAAAAATTCACTGTGGAATCAAACCTGTACTGTATGCCCTTAAGGTATATTTATTTACTAATTACTATATATGTATTTTATTTTTAGCTCACCTGGCCCAAGTGAGCTTTTCTCATCACTTGGCATCTCATCCGTTAACTTTTATAAAATCTTCTCCTCTGAAACTATACGGCCAAATTAAACCAAACTTGGACACAAGTATCATTGGGGTATCTAGTTTGAAAAATATGTCCAATAACCCTGCCTATCCAACAATAAGGCGGACAAGGTTAAAATTAGAGCATAGGGGGAAAATGCAAGTTTCTTCTATTATCTTTTAAACTGCTATGAATAGACAAAGTCTGACAGGGGTAGAAATGTTCAGAATGATGAGATCTACATATTATATAAAAATAAGGAGATGAGGTATGATTGCCCATGAGACAACTATCCACCAAAGTTCAAGTAAAGTGGATGTAAGCAACTTTAGGCAACTGTATGGCCTTCAACAATGAGAAAACCTATACTGTAAAGTCGGCTATAAAAGGCCCTGACATGAAAAATATGAAACAATTCAATTGAGAAAACTATAACAAAACAATTAATGAAAAACAAATATGACAGACATGAACCAACGACAACCACTGAACTACAGGCTCCTGACTTGGGACAGGCACATAAAGAATGTCGTGGGGTTAAACATGTTTGTGAGCCCTCAACCCTCCCCCTAATCTGGGACAGTGATGCAACAGCACAACATAAAAACAAACTATAAAAATCAGTTGAAAAGGGCTTAACTCATCAGATGGACACAAAGCAGAAAAACATCAAACATAAACACAGACTGGACGTGGCAGGGTATTTATCCATCCCTAACAACAAAAAAGAACGCTAAGTACAGATCTGAGAGTACTCGCAGTTACTAACAGCTAGTTCAAAGCCAATAACAACTAATAAAAAAATCATGTATCTAAGACTAAAATATCAATCGATACACATCCAACATTCAATGGATTTAGTGTAAAGACGTCATTAACAGTCATAGAAAAACATGACCTTGTGCAATGCCAAAATAAAGGATCGACAGATTGTAGTACCGTTAAAGTGCATATGTGTATAACAAAACTATAAGTATGATTTTAATTTACTGATAACAAAATCAATATTTATACCAATAAAAATAATATTCAAAGATCTAATTAAAGTTGAATTGGTAACCTTTTAGAATAAGTTTATTTAAAGGATTGATAAGTTTACCTGGATCGTATATAAATTTCCATTGTTCATTTATAACAAAATAAACTGTCTGGCTACTTCTTATAGGAGTTATTGCCCTAAAAGGACGAATTTTGCCATTTTTTTTCTTTCAATTTTGTCTATTATCCTAAAAACTATGGAAGATAGAGAGAAACTTTAATTACAAAAATGACCAGCAAGACGAGATCTACATGTACGAATAATTTATAAGGCCTAAATCGTCAGTCGACTCCTTGGAGTTATTACCCTTTGATGACAATTTTTACCAATTTTTTGCGTTTTTGCCTAATATCTAATAAACTCTTATAGTTGGATAAAAACTTAAATTTCAAAAATGATCAGCAAGGGAAGATCTACAAATCAGTCAAACATTGCCGAAATTGTCAGTCGACTCCATATTGGAGTTATTGCTCCTTAATGACAATTTTTACCCACATTTAGTTTTTTTATTTGCCTATTATCTTGATAACAATATACAAAAAATGGAAGTTTTTAACGACCTTGACTGGCTATACAGCCCTTGCACGGTCGGGAAAACAATATTAGATAGATAGACACTTTTTATAGCAAAAATGATTAGGAAGACAAGATCTACCAACAAAATAAATGCCAAAATCGTCCGCCCCTTGAAAACATTAATTATATTGAAAATTGCATCGTTAGCGCTCTCATTTGTACAATTCTTGCCAGATTTTTATGAAACTTATATCGTAGGTTAAACCGTTTATATGTTAGCAATGTCTTGGACGAGTTCGAAAATCAGTGCCGATCAATTATTTTTAAAAGAGTTATGCCCCTTGGAAATATAAATTATATGGAGAATTGCATTGTTGATTGGTGGAAGTCGAAGGTGGCGGACGTGGTTTTTGGTGAAGCGATAGTTTTACCTTTTACTGAATACCTTGAACATTTTATTTTGCTGAGAGTGCAGGGATATACATTCAGTACATTTTATCAGTTGTGTGAAAAGAATTTTGCAATTAATTGGTTAAATTTCGATTTTACAAACAAACAGAAAAAGCATACGTGACGCGCCAATAATTCAAAATGGCGGGCTTTTCTAAAAGTTAATCTCGTAGCCATGTGTGCCCACATATTTACTTAATATGTAATAAGTTTCATGATTTCAATTGTCTAGTCTTACATATTATCCCACGAGCATTTCCTTTTTATTTTTTATTATTTTAAGTGCACTTATCTGTTTTCCTTGTTCCATTTTACGTTTATTATCTGATTTCTTTATTGAACACAACGTCCCCACAGTATTTTCATTAATATTTAGATAAACATATAGTACCAGTAGTTATCTTGAAAATTGAAAATTTCTCCCCGTCATTTACTTAATTACACAGAAATTTAAAGATGGATATCCAACAATATAAAGTTAATAATATACAGAAAAATAACTTATTAGTAAAGGTTCTCTTACCAATGTTGTAATTAGATCTTTGAATATAGTTTACATTGGCACTTATATCGATTTTGTCATCCGCAAATTAAAAACGTAAATTTGTATTCTTTTCAAACGGGAAGTATAAAGACACACCACGTTCATTTTTTATCTATTTAGAGGTTAACTAACTATCCTACTGCCTTTTAATACATTTATTTTTGGCATTGCACAAGGCATGTCTTTTTTGACTGTCCATGACGTTAAAATACTAAATCCCTGGGATGTGTTTTAGATACTGTACAAAAGAACTTACTTTAACTAAATCTAACATAAACAGCAGTTGTTGTCCTTTTCTGGATTTGGACATTTCAATCTCTAAAGGAAAACTCCATACTAAAATTTACGACAAAAGAGACGACTTTTCATTCCCTATTGTTAATTTTCCTTTTTTAGACGGCGATGTTCCTTTGGCTCCATCATACGGTGTTTATATATCCCAACTCGTTCGTTATGCCCGTGTGTAGTGATGTCATAGATTTTAACGGACGTAATCAATGCATATAGGGATATAGTTACGATACTGTTGTCAGGTCATTAAAGATTGCATATTTTGGCGTTAATATTGATTCACTTATAGGGTCTTTGCATCGGCACTAAACACATTTATTTAAAAACCAGTTGTTGGCATGACACGGGTTATGTTCTTCTCATATATGTTATGATGGTATGATACTAAACCCCTAACGGGAAGGATTGTGCCTGATATTCATATGATGAAGACATAATCTTTCAATCAGTTTAATTGAAGTCTGGAGCTGGCATGTCAGTTAACTGCTAGTAGTCTGTTGTTATTTATGTATTATTGTCATTTTGTTTATTTTCTTTGGTTACATCTTCTGACATCAGACTCGGACTTCTCTTGAACTGAATTTTAATGTGCGTATTGTTATGCGTTTACTTTTCTACATTGGCTAGAGGTATAGGGGGAGGGTTGAGATCTCATAAACATGTTTAACCCCGCCGCATTTTTGCGCCTGTCCCAAGTCAGGAGCCTCTAGCCTTTGTTAGTCTTGTATTATTTTTAATTTTAGTTTCTTGTGTACAATTTGGAGTTTAGTATGGCGTTCATTATCACTGAACTAGTATATATATTTGTTTAGGGGCCAGCTGAAGGACGCCTCCGGGTGCGGGAATTTCTCGCTGCATTGAAGACCTGTTGGTGGCCTTCTGCTGTTGTCTGTTCTGTGGTCGGGTTGTCTCTTTGACACATTCCCCATTTCCATTCTCAATTTTATCACTGGTAAATTATTAAGTCAGGGATTTCGTTACCATAAATTACGTAAAACTTTTACTAAATTCTTTCATAGATACAAAGATTTGATTAGTAAATTTGGCTGTACCTGTAGAAAACTGATTAAAATTGGTATTTCACATCCTAAATTTTACGGTAATATTGTACTTAAAGCGCGGAAATCCTTATGTGATCCGTGTAAACTCACCGAACCTTTAAACAAACTTATTAGTAAAGGTTATCTTACCAATGTTGTAATTAGATCTTTGAATATAGTTTACATTGGCACTAATATCGATTTTGTCATCAGCAAATTAAAACATAACTAAATTTGTATTCTTTTCAAACGGGATGTATAAAGACACACCCACGTT